CATGGTTCGGAGGTTCGTGTAGACAACTCTTTCAATGTTTCGTACGACCCAACACTGTCTCTTAGATATCAAGCGCACATAATGTTGAAACTGTCCACTCTGTTCAGGCTGTGAAATATCTTTACAAGTATATCACAAAAGGCCAAGACGCATCCTGATGGAGGTTCGAACAGACACTGAAAATGATGACATCTCAAGATATGTCAAAGCTCGATACATCTCTGCGAGTGAGGCTTTTTGGAGACTGTATGGATTTGAAATCCACAGTAAATACCCACCAGTGGAAAAGTTGCCCTGACACCTTCCAAATCAACAAACAATTTTGTTCCAGCCTGACGATATTCAGGAAGTTATTGGTCAAGGATCCCCAGAAACAAAATTGACTGCTTTTTTTCCAATCGTAATACGAATACAGAAGTCCCAACCCAGCAAGAAACATCATCTACTCAGATTTTCCTCACTATTTCACTTGGAATAACAAAGACCACAAGTGACAGAAAAGGAAACGAGATGTGAGAAACCCAGATAATCCAGAGGAATGTAGAACTGACTGCATTGGGTGCATCCCAACTGTATCGCTCAGTCCACACCAGGCAGAGCTCTACTACATGCGACTTTTACTACACCGCAAGCCTGGGACAATCAGTTATGAAGATCTGAAAACAGAAAATGGATCAAGTTGCACATCTTATCCAGACACATGCAACCAACTTGGACTGTTCGATGATGACACTGAGAAGGATGCAGCAATGCAAGAAGCATCTTCCATAAGATTTCGACACAATTTACGTCTTGCCTTTACAGCCATTCTCATCTATTGCCGCCCAGCTGATCCTCTCTCATTTTGGCACAAGCACAAACTGGAACTGTGCTGGGACACCATGATGAGAGACAAGGTCACAGAGTTGAATTCTCAGATTGAGAACCAAGTGTTGCTACAACTTCAGTACATTCTTGATTATGATGGGTTGGATCTGCATAAAGACTTTCAGCTGCCACCTGCAGAACATAGTCACGTTGAGGGAGAACAAACAAGAATTGTCGACGAGGAGTTAAATTTTGACACAAACAACCTGAGAGAGAAGGTGAGTCAAGAGAACCAAAAGCTTAATGAAGAACAAAGAGTCGTGTATGATGCTGTGATAGAGTCAGTTGTACAGAAGCAAGGCAAAATATTTGCCCTGGAGGGAAGTGGAGGGACTGGGAAAACCTACACAATAAACCTGACCTGATTCTTGCGGCTGTCCGTTCCTTTAAGATCACCCTTGCTACAGCTCTGTCAGGCATTGCAGCAACTCTGCTCTCA